CCACCCGGGCCCCACCCGGCCCCTCCTCAGCCTCCCCTCTGCGCGGCCCGGGACCCCCGACCCCTCACCCAGGCTCCTCGGAGGACCTCTTGGAGGTCCCTCTCCCTGCCAGGGACCTCTGCCCCTCGTCCCCTCCGCTGACCCCGGCGCACCGGGACACCCCCCCACCTCCCTTCCCGCAGGTGGAGGACGCCCTCACCTACCTAGACCAGGTGAAAATCCGCTTCGGCAGCGACCCTGCCACTTACAACGGCTTCCTGGAGATCATGAAGGAATTCAAAAGCCAGAGGTACCCATGGGGACCCTCCCCAACCCGGGGGGCCGCCTCCGGGCTGAGGGGGGTGGGAGCCCCCCAGCTGGGTGACCTTGCACAGGTCGTCGAACCTCTCAGAGCCTCAGTTCCTTCCTCTAAAAAACGAGAGTGGAGAGTCCTCCCTTGCAGAGCTGAATTCCTGGAAGGAGGGCCAGGTATCAGGGTGAGGCGAGAGAAGCTAATCTGACCAGCAGAGTCGGAGCCTGTCTTTCTTCAGAATGTTGATTTTTAAATGAATTTTGTTCATCCAGGGCTTTTAAAAATTATTTTCCTCCAAGCTCTGCATTAAAATGTTATTTATCTTAATTGTTTGGCACCCTCTCTCCCTTAGATCTTGTCCCCAAGGTGAGTGCTGCACTAGTCTCAGGCCTGCTAGGAAGTTATGCACATAAAATGCTTAGTAAGGGACCTGGCTCTTTTGAAGGCACTTAAAACACATTAACTGTTTTCGTGGGCATAGAATCAGGAGGGTTAGAGATCCATAGAGGACCTTGCGATCATGCCCATGTTTGCCAGGAGGCTTACTGAGGCTTAGAGTGGGCCAAGGGCAGAGACAGGACTAGAACTTGGGTCCTCTGACTATTAGGTTCTCCATTGTCACAGCCCCACCATGCTGCTTCTCCTTCTGAAGAAATATGGCAGAGCTAGCTAGCCTGGTTTCCTTCCACAAGCATGATGATAAGGGTTTGGCCTTGACTGCAGCCATGAGAGACCCCATCCCTCTGTGGTTCTCTCCAGGAGGGCACAGGGAGCCTAGCCCTGGCTGCTTTGGAAGTAGAACACAGTCGGCAGAATCACTCCTGTCACATTTTAGAGTGCTTCACTATCATTGAGAAGCTGGTTACATGGCACTGTTATGGGAGTTAGGAGTAGATTTCGTTTTTAATTTGCTCCTTGAGACAGTTTTGCCTACTTGTATTCTTTGTTTCAGCATTGATACTCCTGGAGTCATCCGACGAGTCTCACAGCTGTTCCACGAACACCCTGACCTCATTGTTGGATTCAATGCTTTCCTTCCCCTCGGGTACAGAATCGACATTCCCAAGAATGGCAAGTTAAACATACAGTCGCCTCTGTCTAGCCAGGTATGCCACTGCACTGGGTCTGAGTGATCCCAGCCACAACACGGCCTGCCCTGGTACTCAGGTTGGGCAGCGCATCTCGTGTACTGCATTGCCAGAAAGCCAGTGACAATCTGGTCTTTTTCTAGACATGCTAATCGTTCCTAGCACAAATCAAAATAGATCGAAACACCTACACAGTCAGTCTCAGCTTCCCAAATTGATCCATTTGGAGGATTTAAATAAAGACTGGATGTGTTAGTGCATGTCAGGGAGCCATTCTCCTAACATAGTTTTATGTCCAGTCAAAATAACTGCATCCTTGGTGACCATGGTCTTGGCCTGAGGCTTCCTGGGAACGCACTGGATAGGCGACACTTGTACTTGGGCATGTGGTCGCTCCGATGCCACCCACAAAGTGAAGTGGTTGGAGTGCGGGTGTCAATGGCCATTTTTATTGTTGCTGTGCTGCATTTAATTGCCAGCCAGGTCATTGGCTCAGCTCAGGCTTGTGGCTTGGGTCCCTTTCTTGGTGACAGCTTGCTCCCTCCTCTGTCTGCAATCTGAAAGCCTGTTTGAGCTTTACTTTTATAAAGTCACCATTGTTTTCTCCACCTCAACCCTTTTGCCGTTCAAAGTATAAGCTTTGGTGCGGGGGAGTTGGCCAGAGCTTTGGAGGATGTTTAGCAGCGTCCTTGACTCTATCCACCATGTCCTCCCCCAGTGAAGACAGTCAAAAATGTCACCATTACCACATGTCTCCTGGAAGCAAAGTTATCCCCATTGAGAACCACTGGTCTGCGTAAACTAGCTCTCAGTGTCCTCCATCTCTGCCCTAGGGGTTTTAGTGAGAAAGGTAAAAATCTGCCACAGAAAGCATTTTGCAGGTTTCTCTGTTGGAGGAGTGCCCTGTCACTGAGGGAGTTAGTTAGATCCAGAAGGAGAACAGCAAGAGGCCTATGCAAGCAAGCTCCGCCTTCAGCATCTTGTCTTGTTAAAGCCAAAGAGTACTTCTCAGTTTTAAAAAAGGAACTTGGAAGCCTGCAGCCGCTGAATTCCAAACAACCTCCATTTCACATTTTGAATGGAGCCCCAGGATCCAGATGTGGGGCTCCTGCCTCCAAGGATAAAAGCCTCGGCAGGATTAACCTCCGGAACAATCACTTCTGGGGGAGAAAACCAGCCTCGTTGGCAGCATTGTGCACGGGGCACTTTGTGTGTTTGAAGCACCCTATAAATGCGGGGTGTCGTTCCCATTGCTTGCTATGAAAGAGCACAATCCAAGACCTGAATTGCGCTCCCCATGTGGAAATGGCCTGTCTCAATCCCTGATTAGCTGAGAGCAGAGAGTGGAGTCACTCCACTCTCCAGGGTGCTGGAACTAAACTGCACAGAGGGGGCCCTTCCTCCTCACACCCCCCAGATAGCCGTGGGGCCCCTGCTGTTCCACATACTCCAGAGAGGACTGTGGTGGAGATAACAGACCAGACCAGTCTTTTCTTCTCCTGGGTGGCTTAGGTGACAAAGGTCCATTAACTTGAGGAAAGACATGAGAGGACTTACTTAACAGCCACTTATCAGGGCTTTATAATCTCACTGCAGCCACATCTAAGGCCCCCTCCATAGCTGGAGAGGTGCATTCGGGAACATACCAGCCCACTCAGTTTCAGTCAATGCTGAGGACCTGCAGAGTTTCCAGCCCTGCTTCTCAGCAGTTCTCCATGCCTGACATAAGTGAGATGTCTTTCTGGCTTCTTGGAGTCCTTGCAGAGGCCACAATAGTCGGAGATCTTTACAGGGCTCCCCACGTGCCAATGCCCTGGTGATTTCTTTTTAATTGGTTTTTGTAGCCTCACTATTTTGAAGCACAGCTTTGTCTTTTTTTTTCATTTTTCACCTCGTCATGAATCTAGTCAACTACAGATAAGGAGGAAGTAGCTCCTAGGTGCCGAGGAAGAGAAATAAGGGTATCCCAGCCTTTGGGGAGCCCTTGATGCAGAGTTTCTGAGCCTTGGCACCATTGCCATTGGGGCTGGATCATTCTCATCGAGGTGTCCTCTGTGCTGGAGGAGGCTGAGGGGCAACACTTCTCCACATGGCACAAGTAGCATACCTTCCTTCAGTGCGACAACTTAAGAATGTCTGCAGATGTTGCCATGTGGCCCCTGTGGGGCAGAATCACCCCAGTTGAGAACACTAGTCTAAAAAGGAAGACAGACAGATGTGTACCATGACGTGGGGAACATGGCCACAGGAGAGCCAGGGGACTATGGTGAGAAGAATGTTCTTGGCTGGAGCCGCAGCCTCCAGAGTCAGTGCCATTTGGATGTGGTCATCCAGGCCTGAGTTGTTACGACACCTCCTCAGAAAGCTCCCCACTCTCTCCCCTAAGTCTTTACATTGTGCTGTTTTATATATTTCAAAATAGGAAAGTCAGGAAAATAAATTAAAAATCCACCATTCCTTGTTGATTTATCTTCCTTGGCAAACTGGGAGTCCTCCAGATCAGGCAAGACCCTCATCTGCCTGGGTCATAACTGTCACCGTTTCAGCATGGTGCCAGGCACATGATGGGGCGAGACACTGGACGTCAGTGGGTCCCATTGAGGGCAAACCCTGCCTCCTAGGAGCCATCCCTTTTCTGTTTGGGAAAACAGCCAGCTTGGACAGAGATAAAAAAATTAACTTTAGGCACAGCTCGTCCGATAAGTAGCCCTGTTGTATTCAAAGGGAGGCCTGCTGTCTTCTCTCTGGGGAGGGTCATTTGGAAGTTCAGTCAGTTCCTGGCAGGTTGTCTCTCAGTTTATGCCTAAGTCATCCATGGAGCAGGTGTAGACCACCTCCTCTGCACCAGGCCCTCGGAGTGCTTACACGGTCTAGGTAGGGACTCGTGAGATGCAGATGAACAGCTATGAAATATTCGAGGGAGTTCAGCACTGCAAGCAAAAGACAGCAGGGGCAGGGCTTGAGGGGAACGGGAGCCATGCCTGTGTCTGGGGGGAAGGGGTCTTCCTGGTGGTGGGAGTAAAGGCCTGAGGTGGGAATGAGTGAGTGTGCTTGAGGAACAGCCAGTGGAGTCAGGACATGAAGAGGAGAGGGTGAGAAAGAGAACCAGGAGTGTGGGAAGTTGGAGAGTTCTGGAAAGGCCACTCTGGCTGCTGTGACGGCAGTAGACTGAGAGGCAGAGAGGATCTGTGAGGCAGGGAGGGGCTCCCTGTGATCCAGACAGTACGATGATGGTACAGACTGGGGTTGGGATGTCCGTGACAGTGAGAAGTCCGGGTGATCCAGGATGCCTGCGCCTCTGGGTGAAGGTTGCTGTCCCGCAGAGATGACAAGTCTAAAGAGGAGTGGGGGGGGTGCTGCTCCGTCCTTGGAATGTGATTTTTGATGAAGCATCTTAAATATTAAGGCGGGGCTGTGTGTAGACAGTCAGATGGACGAGTCAGCCATGAGGGGTGGCTTATCAGCATCTAGGAAACATTTCTAACTTCCTGGACTAGGGCAAGCAAAGAAGAAAAAGACCAAATGTTCTAGAAGGTTCAGAGCAGAGATTTGGCAGACTATGGTCTATGGGCCAAAGCCAGCTTGTTTTTGTATGGCTTGTGTTTTTAACATTTCCCTAAGAGTACAGTAAAAATTTTTAATTGTAATTTTCGTATAAAATTCATCGTCATAACCATTTTATAGTGTCCAATTCAGGGGTTTTTAGTATATTCACAGTATCACACAACTGCCACCAATTCCAGAACGTGTCTATCACCCCAAAAAGAAACTGTACCCCTGATTCTCCCCTGACGGCCGCTATTCACATTCTGTCTCTGTAGAGTTGCCTCTTCTGGACATTTCATGTAAATGGAATCATACACTATATAATCTTTTGTGTCTGGCTTTCTTCAGTCAGCATGATGTTTTTGAGGTTCATTTATATTGTATCAGAGCTTCCATGAATCAGAATACCATTCTTCTTTATGGCCAAAAGTATTCCACTGTGTGGATGGACCACATTTTGTGCATCCATTCATCGGCTGATGGACACTTGGGTGGTTTCCACCGTTTGGCAATTGTGACTAGTGCCACAATGAACATGTGTATACAAGGATTTGTTTGAACATCTGTTTTCAGTTATTTGGGGTCGATATCTGGGAGTAGAATTGCTGGTTCACATGATAACTGTTTAACTTATTAAAGACCCACCAGACTGTTTCATAGGGGATGTGCCATTATGGTCTGACCCATTTTGTGAAGCCCTGGTCTCTAGGGATGGTTCTCTGTCTTGTTACAGTGACTCACTACAGGGGTTTGTAACAGGCATGTGGTGCCTGAAAATGGCCCGTTAGAGTGATTGTGAGCACAGCCTCCTCTGAAGCAAACTCTAACCCCAGGGCTACTTCCTCCCCCTGCTCCTTCTAGCTCTTTCCACCCTTCCAGGCAATCAGGAAGAGCATCTCTAGAGTATCTTAGAATGAATTCCACTGCCAGGGAGAAATGGCATTTAGAATTGTGACTGCTCTGGATCTGCTGTCTCTCTACTTTCCTCAGCTCAGACTTCTAGATTGCCTCTACAGCTACTGTTATGGATTGAACTTGTCCCCCTCAAATTCTTACATTGATGTCCTAACTCTCGTTGTATTAGAATGTGACTGTATTTGGAGATAGGGTCTTTACAGAGGTAATTAAGGTAAAATAAGGCCCTCAGGGTAACCCCTAATTTAGTCTAACTGGTGTCCTTATAAGAAGAGGAAATTTGGACACACAGAGAGACCCAGGGATGTGTGTACATGGATGACCGTGTGAGGACACCGCAAGAAGGCGGCCATCTGGGAGAAACCAACCTTGCCAACACCTTGATCTTGGACTCCAGGCTCCTGAACTGTGAGGAAATAAGTTTATGTTGTTGAAGCCACCTGGCCAATCTTATTTTGTCGTGGCAGCCCAAGCTGGCTAATATACCCACCCTAACTATGGCCAGTGCACCTGGCTGTCCCCACCTTGCTGGAGCCTTCCGGTCAGCAGTTGGTGTAGGAGAAGTGCTGGGCACTTGGACAATGGAAACAGTAGACTCAGTTTGTTCCTTCATTGGTCACCTGCTCATCCCCAACATTGGAGAAAGCCCACTCTGTTCCAAGCTCTGTTGCAGGCAACAGGGACACAGCCACGAACAAAGTAAGAATCTCTGCCCTCATAGTGTTTTCCATCTGGTCAGGGTGGACAGACAACAAAATAAGTACGTGTAGGAAGGTGATGCGTGCCATGGAGTAAAACAAGGAAGAGGCTCGGAGTGCTGGGAAACGATGGCATTTTAGTTTGACATAGGATGATTCCAGAAGACTTCTCGAGACCCAGCCCCCACATGCTGGGGGCCTGCACGATACTGAGGGTCACTCCTGATGACCCAGCCATGGTCAGTGGTAGAGAGAAGCGGTCATCAAAACCACATGCAAAATTCCAGTTTAGAAACAAACATCACCTCTTCTGGGGAGTGGTCCTGTCCTACCACGAATTAGGATTCTGAGTGCACAGGAAAGAGACGCATGTGCCTATTTTTTACTTTTATTTGTATTGATAAAAAAAGCACACAAATAGAGGGCATGCTTGATGACTGGTCAGGGCCCATCTCAAGTGACTTGCCCTGGGCTTAGCACCAAATGTCCTGCAGACATGGGCAGCCTAGACAGCTGGCCCCCCTCACCTCCAGGGTCTCAGTTTTATACCTACTGAAAGCAGGTTCTTTTATACCTGAAATGGGCTGGCAAAAGACTTATTTTATAAAGAGCCCCAAACTCCACTCCAGAAAGGATTAAACAATCCACATTTTATACTTTTCTCCCGAACATTAATTTTTCAAAGTGTAGAGTGTGTCAGACCTTCATGTTCTCTGAATCGATTGGGAAAGGTCTGGTGGAGGCGAGTCCAGGAGACTCTCCCAGGAGCATGTCGGCCCACAGAAGGCCGAGGAGGAGCTGTCTGCATGTTCTGTGCCCGCCCCCCCATTCCTCCCTCTAGGCCCCCAGAAGTAACCTTTTTCTACATCTAATTAAAACACTTGGCTCTATGTTAGGTATTGCTTGTTCTTGTACAGACGGTGGCTGGGTCTGGCGTTTGTCACAGTCTGTTCCTGGTGTTGGGCTGACAGTAACTCTCTGTCATGTTGTCAGGAGAATTCGCACAACCACAGTGACTGTGCTGAGAACTTTAAGCAACAGCTGCTGTACAAGGAGGACAAAGCCCAGGTGCCCTTGGAGTCAGATTCTGTGGAGTTCAACAACGCTATCAGCTACGTGAACAAAATTAAGACCCGCTTTCTGGACCACCCTGAGATCTACAGGTCATTCCTGGAGATACTGCACACTTACCAGGTAAGAGGCCTCGGGTCATACTTCTCTGGCTGTTCGTGGCCAGTGGTAGAGAGAGGCAGGTGATCATCAAATGTCCAGTGCATTAGAAGCTTTCAGATTTTCTTTTTTGAATTCATGGAATCCTGTAAAAATCTGATAAGCTTTTTTTGCATTAATTTTTTTTACTACGACGAAATATACATAACATAAAACTTACCATTTTAATCATTAAGAAGTATACAATTCATGGGCATTAAGTACATCCACATTGTCATGCAGCCATCATCACCATCCATCTCCCGAACTCTTCATCTTGCAAAACTGAAACTCTGTCCCCATTAAAAATGAACTCCCCATCCCTTTCCCCTAGCCCCTGGCACCCACCATTCTGCTTTCTGTCTCCATGAATTTGACTCCTCCAGGGATCTCACATAAGTGGGATCATACAGTATTTATCCTTTTGTAACTTGGTTTATTTCATTCAGCATAATGTCTTTAAGGTTCATCCATATCGTAGCATGTGTCAGAATGTCCTTCCTTTTTTAAGGCTGAATGATATTCCATTGTGTGCATGGACCACATTTTGTTTATTCATTCATTTGTTGATGGACTCTTGGGTTGCTTCCACATTTAGGCTGCTCTCAACATGAGTGTACAAGTACCTGTTGGAGTTCCGTTTAGTTTTTATTTTAATTTACTCCTTGAGTAAATTTATACCTTGGCACTGAATAAGTACTAGGAAACACACCTCAGAAGGATTTTAAAAGAACCTAAGGGACACTCTTTTTATAAGATAATTTCGTTGTTGTTTAGGCCACACAGCTTCTTTTATTTTTGCTGATTACAGCTGGGCCCTGTGCCAGGTACTGGGGTGACAGAGATGAATGGTTGCTACTGCTTGGGAGTTCAGTCTAGAGGTGGGAGAAACTTAGAGATGATTGGGGCAGAAAAGAAGGGAAGTGCATAGAAGTATGTCAGGGTTAACTTGCCAACTGCGCGGGGGTCCAGGGAGAGAATGTTTAGGTCAAATCTTGACAAATGGGTCAGAACCATCAGGAAGACAAGTACAGATGAAAGGTAGATGCTCAGTGTTAGGAACGGCCTGCAAAGGTCCAGGGGTCAGAGCAGATAGCTGGCTTCAAGTGAATTGACAGGAAGTGTGGGCAGGCCAGTGGCAAGGGACATCTGTGTCATGCAAGGAGCTTGGATGTCATCCTCTTCCAGACATGGAGTTTCTGATGCCTTTTATTTTTCTAAGCAGAACCCACTTTTATTTTCTGCATTTCTATAAGAATTTTTTTGAGCCAAACTGACAACATATGCCAGGGAGCAAGATCTCAAATGCTCTGGAAAATAACAGTTTTGTAGCTTTTATGCTTTTGAAATTAAGGAGGAGACTAGGGAAGACTGGAGAAAGCAAGGAGGAATTGCATTACAGGATAGGTAACAAGATTATGTGCTCTCTTGAGGGTTAGTACCTCCTTCGAGGGTATTCTGGCATTTCAAAGGTGTGTTAACCAATGTGCACAAGAAGAATGGACAGGGCTGGCTTAAAACCTTTCACAAAAGAAATTATAGGCCTGGGGCGTGATGACCCACTGTGACCCGCTGAGTTAGGAATTTATGATCAGATCACTCTGTGAGGTTACTTTCCCTAGAACCCCTTTTTTTGTCCACAGTTCCCCTTTTTGGTCATAAGCAGCATCCACTTTTAAAAACAAGCCTACTGTACAACCTTGATAAGTAAAATAAAGAACTGGGATTTTTTTTAGCATAAATGTTTAATATCAGGTTGATAGCTTTTGCTTCCTGCAAACCCAGTGGAGCTGTTTTGACACAAACTTGCCTTCGGCAATGCTGGCAACGTGCGTGGCCCCATCGGACCAGTCCAACAAGTGCATGGTACTGTACGGCAGTGAGACTTGCTTCTCACAGATGAGCGGTTGCAGTGGCAGATGTGAACATCTGATCTGTGTGGGGAGGTGATATGTGGGATCATAGGGGTTTATGGGACCTTCACAGATTCCATGGGGTCATCACAGCTTAGGGGCTGGAGGGATCATCAGCAAGAAGCCTGCGTGGTATCTGTTCTGCAATGGGAATCGGGGCAGAGATGTTAGACTCATTCAAGGGCAGAGTGATGAGCCACAAACTCAGTCAGAGAAGGCTCATCGGGGAGGGTAAAGCTTGGCATCCTCCGAGAGCCTCTGGGAGTTTGGTGGAAACACAGGTGCCTGGGCTTCACCCCAGAGTTGCAACTCCTCAGGGCCAGCCCAGCATCTGCATTTTAAACAAGCTCCCTGGCAACGCTGACCGCAGGTCGTCCGTTTCTTCAGAGGAGCTAGAAATATAAATTTTCATGTGAATTATCCTGGTTTTAGAACATTGGCTTGGACTTTAAAAGACCATGAGGCCCAAAGTCAGCAGCTCTAGGTAAATTTGGCCCTGTGTTTCTGTGTTTTTATCTCTGTTGGGCTTTGGTTCAGACCTTAGCTCTGCCACCTGCCCCTTCAGAGTCCTTTCCCTCATCTCCCTGAACCCAGGTTCTAATCCGTAAAATGACTATAGCGCTGGTGGTGCTGACCCATGGGTTAAATGTGGTAAACAGAGGTCATCCACTCACAGTGCCTGCCTCTGGTCAGCCATTATCCAACTTAATACATATGTCCAGTATGTGTTTAGATAGGCACAGCCAGTTCTGCCCTGGTGTGACTCGTGACATTCATTAAAGTGATTTCGCTATGCAGGTTTGCGCAACCACAGAACTTATGAGAAAACAGAGTCAGGGCACAACACTGGGAATCTGTCAGTGCACATTTAAAAAAGATAGGCACCTACTAAAGATGGTAGCGCCATTGTACACATTAAAAGGCTAAGAATGACACAAATACTAGAGCACCTGTGGCACTTAATTCTGGAAAGACCTGAGGCTCACGTGTGGGTGTGGGAAGGTTGCAGCCTATGGGTCACTGCGAGGTGCTGGGAGGAGGGATCCTGAAATGGGACGGGTCGTAGTAACCCCTGATGGCCCAGGCAGGTGGCTCTTAACAGATGTTGAAGGGTCATGGGTGGGGGCGTGTTTTCCCACACTGCTCAAGTCAGCCTGGTGTGATTTTCTACACTCACCCAGGATTTCTCCCACATAAGCAGTCACAAAATTCACACTGCACTGAGATCATTCCTTAGTACACGTATCAAATGCTACAGATTCGCATGTTCAAAACAAGCATTAGAGCAGAACTAACAGTCTCTGAGGGAGCATTCCCAGGAAGCGCGGCCCTGAGTCAGGGTGCGCACCTGTCACATGGTCGTAGGTAGAGCCATGTTTCCCTCTGCTAGGTTGCACCTGTCTCCTTTCCACCTTACTGGAAACCACATTCCTTTCATCTTTGTCAATCTAATGAGCGAAGCGGTGCTATTTTAAGTTGTATTTCTTTAAACATCATTCAGTTCAGTCATTGTATTCATGTGTATAGATATAACTTGTGTTTATTCTCTGAACTGAGTGGTCTTCATCTATTTTTTCTTTGGCTTTCAAGTGTCCCAGTAACTTTGGCGGTGGGGGAGGCACTTATCCTTTTTCCCCTCCTAAGTAGGTGCTACGGGTGTAGGGTTGAAAACCAGCTGCCCTCAGTGTGCTGGGGCTGGGAGTGGGGGACATACCGAGGTTGGCGCTTTCCCCTTTGTAGCTGGGGGTGGGCGTGTCCTGCGTTCCGGGAGAGTCCCAGCCTTGATGCCTCTTGCTCGGTCACATCCTCAGGTATAAAGTTGACAGGGACTTATTTTTAATGTCCAGCTTGAGTTTTGCTTGTGGCTTCCGACCCAGGTCCCCTCCGGTCCTCATCTTGTTGCTTTGAGCTCCAGGTCAGGTTGTCTTCCTTCAGCCCTCAGGGACAGGATAAACAGGTCCCTTGGCATGGAAGTCACTTCCTTTTCTCTTCGCCCACTTCTCTTCAAGGCCTAGTGCTAGCTCTGTGCTCCTCTGCCCAGCAGAACATGCCCCCTTGTCCATGGGAGGGCTGGGACCAGGTCCTTCCATGACTGTGCCCCTGCCCATGTTCCTTCCACCTCCTAGGTCAGGCCTCGTCCGTGGCCAGGGCTCAGGTCGTGTGGTGGAGCAGGGTTGGGACGTAAGCACAGAGGACTGTTCTCCAGACAAGGGTGTTCGCTGCAGGGCACCCCGAGTTGTTGGCAGGGCGATAGGGCTGGGCCCCTTTCTCCTCCACAGAGGGATGCCTAAATGTCACAGCCCGGTGCCTGGTGCCTTGACTAACGACTTGTTTTCCCTTTCCCAACAATCGGCAGAAGGAGCAGCTGAGCACGAAGGGCCGGCCCTTCCGGGGCATGTCTGAAGAGGAGGTGTTCACCGAGGTGGCCAACCTCTTCCGGGGCCAGGAGGACCTGCTCTCCGAGTTCGGACAGTTCCTGCCTGAAGCCAAGCGGTCCCTGGTGAGTACAGAGTGCCCACCTGGCCTGCGGGCCACCTCAGCCGGGACCCCATGCCTCAGTGCAGGGCCAGGCCAGGATAGTCTGACCCCCAGGACATGCTGGGTTCCCCCAGGAGCCACACAGGGTACAGACACCCACAGGCCCCCAGTGCAAGTTCCTGTCACAGGCTCCACCTTCATGTCAAGCTGGAGTGGGTCCTGAAGAGGGCTTCTCTACTGACAATGCCAGATGGTGAGGGCTGGCTTGGGAGGCGGAGACAAGGGCACCTCATATTCCTCCAGGACTGCAGAGCCACCTGCCTGTAACCAGGGCTCTGAGAAGGAGGGGAGGGCCCACCACCTCCCACTCTGGAGGGACCAGGTGGGGGTGGGCTGGGACTTGGCAGTGACAGGGCGGGGGGGAGTGGGCAGAGAGCAGAGGAGGGCCCGGGGACAGGGACAGTGAGAGTGCAGACTGCTCTGTCGGTCTTTCTCCCCGTGCTGTGGCCTGAGGCCTGTGAGGCTGCCCTTTTCTGTTTCCTCTTTTTCTTTTCCACGAACATAAGGGTATTTTTAATTGAAGTGAAATTTATGTAACATAAAATTTACCATTTTAAAGTATATAATTTAGTGCCTTGTAATGCATTCACAGTGTTGTACAACCACCACCTCTGTCTAGTTCTGGAACATTGCCCTCACCCCAGAAGGAAACCCCGTCCCCATGAACAGTTGCTCCCCAGCCCCCTCCCCCAGCCCCTGACAACCACCAATCTGTTTTCTGTCTCTATGGATTTGTCTGTTCTGGACATTTCATATAAATGGAATTATACAATGTGTTTTTTGTGTGTCTGGCTTTTCTTAACATGATGTTTTAAGTTTCATTCACGTCGGAGCATGTGTCAGTGCTTCATTCCTTTTCGTGGCTGAGGAATATTCCCTTGTGTGGATGGAGCACATTCTGTTTATCCACTCATTCACTAGTAGACATTTGGGTCATTTCCACTTTTTGACAGTTGTGAGTAGTGCTGCTGTGCACATACGCGTACAGTATTTGCTTGAGTCTCTGTTTTCAGTTCCTTGGTGTCTACACCCAGGATTGGAATTGCTGTGTCATATCATAATTCTATGTTTAAATTTTGAGGAACTGCCCAACTTTTTCCCATGATGGCTGCATCATTTTATGTTCTCACTAGCAGTATTCTAGGGTTTCAGTTTCTCCACAACGCCATTCTTATATCTTCTTTGGAGAAATAGCCATTCAAGTCCTTTGCTCATTTTTTAGTTTGTCTCTCTGTTGTTGAGTTGTAAGAATTCCTTATGTTTCTGGACACTAGACCCTCATCAGATATTTTCCTTCATTTTGTAGTTCATCTTTTCACTTTCTTGTTAGTGTCCTTTGATGCATATATGTTTTAAATTTTGATCAATTCCAATTACCTATTTTTTTCTTTTGTTTTTCATGCTTTTAGTGTCAAATTTAAGAATTTTTTACCAAATCTTCTGAGGTCAGGAAGATTTCCGTCTGTGTTTTCTTCTAATAGTTTTATAGGTTTAGCTTTTATATTGAGGTCGTTTATCCATTTTGAGTTAGTATTTGTGTATGATGTGAGCTAAGGGTCTAACTTCATTCTTTTGCATGTGGAGATCCAGTTGTCCCAGCACCACTTGTTGAAGAAACTGTTCTTCTGTTCCCATTGAATGGTTGTGGCACCCTGTTGACAATTGTCCATAGTTGTATGGGTTTATTTCTGGGCTCTCCATTCTAATCTATTGATCTCCATGTCTGTTTTATGCCAGCACCAGACTGTTGATTATTGTAGCTTTATAGTAAGTTTGGAATAAGGAAGTGTGAGTCTTCCAATTTTGTTCTTGTTTTCCAAGATTGTTTTGGCTATTCAGGGCACCTTGCATTTCCATGTGAATTTGAAGATCAGTTTTTCCATTTCTGTGAGAAAGGCCTTAGGGATCTTAAAAGAGATTGAATGGCATCTGTCAACTGGGGGAATATTGCCATCTTAACAGTACTAAGCCTTCCCATTTATGAACATGCAGCATCTTTCCATTTACTTAAATCTTTTTTAATTTCTTTCAGCAATCTTTTTTAGTTTTCAGTATACATGTCTTGTACCGCCTTGGTTAAATTTATTCATAAGTATTTTATTCTTTTTGATGCTATTAGTAATGGAATTGTTCATTTCATTTTTTCAGTTGTTCATTGTTAGCATATAGAAACTACTGCTTTCTGTATGTTGGGTTTGTATTCTACAGTTTTGCTAAATCCATTCATTAGCTTATTAATAGTTTTTGTGGATTCACTAGGATTTTCTATATATCAGATCATGCCACCTGCTACTAAAGAGTTTTCCTTTCCAATTTAGATGCCTTTCCTTTTTATTTCTTTTTCTTTCTTTCCTTTCTCTTTCCTTCCTTCTTTTTTTCTTGTTTCTTCCTTTTTCTTTTTTTCTCTTTTTTTTCTTTCTTTTTTGTTCTTTTACCTAATTGCTCTGGTGGAACCCCCAGTACTGTGTTGAATAGAAGCAGTAAGGACAGGCATCCTTGTCTTGATCCTGATCGTAGAAGAAAAGCTTTCAGTCTTTCACCTTGAGTGTCCTGTGAGCTGTGGACTTTTCATAAATGCCCTTTATCAGATTGAGGAAGTTTCCTTCTTTTCGTACTTCGTTGACTTCCAATTTCTGTTTTTCTCCTCCTTCCTCTCTGCCCTTGATGACAACAACTTGGAGTGTGACCACACGAGTGGTCCTCCCTTCATGTGGTACCACCACTTCTCCTAGGTCCTGCTTCTGAATGAAGATGCAGTGGGGACAGGGCTGGGGGTCAGCAGGTCTCAAAGGGAGGAGATCAGAGGCAAAAGAAGTCTGGGTTTGGGTACCTTGAAGACTCTTGGTTCAGTCAGGTGAACTTCCAGTGCATGGACTAGGGCTTGTCCCAGGCCAGGCATCACTGTCTCCTGGACACTGAGCACTGTCCCTAAGCGGGGATGCTGCCATGAAACACTGCCTGACTGCAGGTCAGAGAAGTTGTCTGTTAGTGAGGCTGACATAAGTCCTAGAGCTGTAGCCAGTCCTTCTGACCTGCCTGGAGCCTCGGGCGTCCTCAGGGGACTGGAGGCCTGGGCAGAGCCCTCGAGCACGTAGCCTAGGCCACAGCACTTGCTCGGCTTCATCAGTGCTGCAGGCAGGCTTGAGCCTGCTGCGTCACCTCCCAGGCCTCATTCTCTTCTCTCACACAGATACCTGGCCCTCCTGCTCAGATGGGAACTCAGCAAACTGTTGTCATTTGAGTGCCTCATGCAAGGCCCAGCATGTGCTCAGTGCTCCATCTTCCTCCTCTGCTTGTCAGAGGTCTCTTTGCCTCCCTCTGCATCCCTGGTAACTCAGGCTACATCCCATCACACTCTGTGAAGCCTGTCTTGCCTTCTTATACACTTGGTAGATCGTCTTTGGGTCTCATCCTCTTGGATCTGGGTCTCCCCTCTCAGCTCTGACCACGACCTTGGCAGCTCTTTCTCTGAACTCCATCCACGCAGGGAGCTGAGTACACGGTGGCATCCCTGGCCAGCCTTCCCAGAGTCATTGCCATTAGCGCAGAGTGGTCCAGAGACATGCCCTTTCTCCACACTGTAGGGAAGCTCAAGAGAGCAGCCCTGCCTTGACAGGAGGTGGTGGGTGCAACGCCTGGAACAAGGGCTCATGATTGAACACCTGGTTCATGTCTCGTTTTGCCACCTTCTTGCTATGGAAGCCTGGCAGGTCACTCCCTCAGCCTCAGCTCTTTCATCTAGGAAGTGGCCATGGGGACATCTCCCTCTAGGCTGGTTGGAAGATTCCTTAGGGAAGTGCCTGGCCAGGGTGAGCCCGGGACTGCACTAGGGGCCTTGCCTTTGCTGAGCTGAGAGCGGAACCACCCTGGGAGATGGTATAGAGGGTAGGGAGACCCATCCGCTGGGGTTGTGAGGGCAGTGCACAGCAGACACTTAGGTAACTGATAAAACTGTCAGTCCACCCTGCTCGCCCCAATTCTTAGCATTTTTTTTTTTTTTTTGGCAAGAGCGGTCTTAGTTCCCTTAATTTTCATCTTGGTGGTGATTCTTTAAGCTCATGGTCCCTGGCAGGTTAGTGGAGCTTCTTGTCCTCTGATTGCTGTAGTCACAGCGCCCTCTAGTGGGCACAACTAGGACTTTACAAAGTTGAACATGGACAAAGCCTGCCCTAAAAAAAAAAAAAAGAGCATTTTCCTCAGAAAACTGCCTTCCCACACAGTTTCTTTAAATGGCATTTGTTGTCAGTCCAGCAAAGTGTTTTTAGTGTATATTGGATGACTAGAGCTATCATATACATTTTAAAAGATTGGATCTATTTTAAAATTATTAAAAACACCCACATACAATGTTTTATAAAGTGATCTTTATGGTCATGATCCTTTATATTGATTTTTAGATTTCTGTTAAA